AGGGAGGGAGGGAAAAATGGGGCAATCTTGGCAAATATTCCATGTGCACTTGAAAAGAATGATTATTATCTTGCTGTTGGGAGGGGTATTCTATAAATACCAATTAGGTTAAGTTGGTTATTAGTGTTGAGTCTTCTATGCCCTTACTGATTTTCTGTATAGTTGTTCTATTAACTGAGTGGTTCTCATATCTTTAGCTCTAACTGTAGATTTGTCTATTTCTCTTTGCACTTGTCAGTTTTTGCTTCATGTATTTTGAAGTTCTAGTGTTAAGGCATAAATATTTAAAATTGTTATGTCCTCTGATTAACCCCTTTAGCACAAAATGCTCCCCTTTATCAGTATAAAATACTAATATTGGGACTTCTTAAAGATTGTTAGCAGGTGACACTGAGGAAACTATTTCGTTAACGTGATTTCTCTTTCTCATCTTATGAACCATGTGTTTATAAAAGTCTTACCGTATCATCAAGACCATCTATATGTAAAACCACTGTTTTGGCACGTTTGTTTGTAGTTCCCAGAAAAAACTGAGCTTTCCTTCGACGTGAATTCATTTCATTGAAACTATCACTATCTGCCATATTGGAAGCTTGAAGAATGTCATAGATTTCAGAGGCCAGAAGCTTTGTTTCTCCTGGAGTTGTAGTCCTTAAAAAGAAACAGATAAGTTATAAATCAGTATAATCACTTCTACTGATTCTGTAATTTTATTCCTCAAGTTTGAAAAGCCTTGTTTTCTTCATTCTGGCTTGTTCAATTTAAAATACCAGTGAATCCTAGAGTCATCTGTAATGTAGAAAAAGTGTCTAATCTATAACAAAGTCTTCTCATTTCATTTTAAACCCATGGTTCATTGAGATTCAAAACTCATCATCACTACAGTGGTATAAAAGCACACTTAATTGAAATCATTAATTAAGTAGGAAATCAACTAAAAAGATCAAGCTATAACAAGTCCCTGGATTAACACTAACATTCAACTCGCAATTTGAAAGTAACCTGACCTTCAAGAAAATACAACAGGAGAAAACAAATTAGATCATTCATATTAAAGTTACCTCAATAGAGACTTCTTAGTAAATCCAAACTGATTGTTTCTTAATTTGCATTTTTACATATCTTTCACAGAGTATGTATCATAAAACCACAATTCAGACAAAAGTTTTCATTCTTAAACTTTTAAATCCTGTATAGCTCCTCACATAAACACTTGTGCCATGCTGTCCAACAGCACTTTCTACACTGAAGAAATATTCTGTACCAGCACTGTCCACTCACATGTGGCTATTGAGCACTTGAAGGCTCAGCTCAACCACCATCTTCTTTATGAAGCCTCCCCACCCCAACATGCCATTCATCCCTCTGCATTCCAAGTACTGTATATACTTTACTATTGATTTTAATTTTCCATTTCTTTCTCTTCAAGAATAGGGGTGTATTCTCTCTGTACCTTCCACAAAGCCTAATGAACTTTTTTGCAATCCATTTGTTTATTGAATAAGCAGAAATACTTCAATTTCTAACTAAAAAGACACATTCTAGCTATAAAGACCTTCAATTCCAGGAGTGCAACCTGGCAATTTTCTGGGCCCTCAATTTATTATACCAGGTGCTTTTTGAGCCACTGTTGACCACAGAGATCAATTGCTTTGAATGATTTTGGCTCTGTATTTCAGGAAGCTATGAAAAAGACTATTTTTTTAGGAGATGTCTCAGCACCTTTCTGATGGCTGTTTTACAGTTTATTGAAAAGGTCACTGCAGTTCTGAGATATTTTAAATACTGCCAACCACAAGTTGTAAAGTGTATGAGGACACTGGCTAGAGGCACTCATGAATTTAAGAGGAAAAAAGTACCTGAGTAACTATTTTCCCAATTCTCCCAAGGATGGTATAGAACTAGAACCATTCCAGATTCATGGGAGAGAAGATAATCTGTATATCTAATGGAGTCCTTAGGCTTGAGGGCTTAATTCTATCACAAGCCCGTTCTAGTGGATTCCATATTAGTAGCAACAGAGGGGAGAAATGGCCATTTGTTAATAAAAACAATGTGCAAAGGTGAGACGTGTGCATTCATGATTGTCCGTACAGCTACAGACTACTCACACTAACTTTAAATTTAAAAGCCGAAGATTTACACAAAAATATACTTCATCTATAGAGTTACACAAGCTATGCCTACTTAGGTAAACAAAGCACTTAAGATGATTAGCAAAAATAGATAAATGAAATAAATACTCCTACCACCACCATTATTAACTTCCTTACTCCACAGTTCCAAAGTTTCATCATTTTCATATAGTAATAACATTCCTTTTGAAGATTTTCAATTTCTAGCTACTCAAAACCAAAAGATTTTAAAGGATAACATAATCAAATCAACATGATGGTCTAATTGTTATTTCAAGTATGTTCTTCTGGTATACTCACAGGACTCAATTGTATTGCTACCATTTCTATGAAACAGTTGGAATATCTCTATTTATAGACCCATAACTCCCTTAAAAGGAAAATTTTTTCTTAGGCAAAAAGAAATTAACAAAATCATGTAAGCAAAATGAATTACAAACCAAGTTACTTCTTGACCTACTTACTACATGAAGTATCACAAATATCAATGCATCTTGCTAATCAACAAATCAATTATAAATAATTATTTCCCTAGTTTAAAAATATGCTTTTAAAGCCAAAAAAACAAAAATAATCCAAGAGTACTTTCAGGTTCAAAAGCTATCTTAGTCTTTTTTTAATAAGCCAAAATTATTGTTCAAATACTATGATTCAAAACATTCAAGCAGAAAAAGTCTAGAGTTATATGGTACATTTGGCCATAAATGTTAGAGAGAATGTATAATTAAATAAGTATTAATTGCCCTAATCTTCCTAGGCAGGTGAAAATTGAGAGCTGATTAATGACCTGGATTTAGTTCAGTCTTTAAAATCTGACATCAGAAAAAAAGACTATCTTGAAAGGCTCCTTCATCTAGTAATTGTAATTTTGCTCTCAGTAATTTACTATTCCATAATGAAGTATACTGACTCCTCACCACTTTTCCTAATTAGTTATCTATATTGAAAAAGTTCAAAATGTTATTCATAAAACACAAGTAAAAGGTGAACTTTGATCTTTATTATATAGCAAAAATAATTTTCATTCTGAATATAGTATTTCCTTATTGTCATAAACAGCAATTCAGTCTAATCCTAGATGCTGCTAATAACATTTTATATTGTCCATAAAGGCCAGTTAAGACTTCCATATACTTCATGAAGAGGCAGGATAGTAAGCACCTAGGAAAATTCCTTGACAAGTGGAATGGGGAAACTGAGATAGACAGCTGAACAAACTGGCCGACCAATTTACAGCCAAATATAGAAGGTCACCAGGCCGGAAAGTCAAGAGTGCCTAGGAATGGGCAAAACTGGTGCCACCTCACCCGCAGGACGGCCTTTCCTCCCCTGGCATATCCCTGGTCATAGGACCCTCCCCTGATGTTTCTCCCTAGGTTTCAGTTGTATATCTGCTCCAGGCCCAGAAAAGCAGCAAAAACAGGCAGGCGACACCAGGAACAGCTGCAATGACTAATGACCCCCTGCCCCAGTACTGACCAATCAGTGGAGACCACAACCCTGAAAGGATACACCTGGAAAAGCTAATGAATATTCTATTGAGATCTCCCCTAAAATCCCCATCTTTAGAAAGCAGATAAAACCCCTCAAGACAAAAGAGCCAGTGTGAGCCCTCCTTAGGGCACCCCCACTCAAATCTCCTTTTCAAGTGGACTTTCTTTCTCCTAAACTTTAAGGGTCCCCACAAGACTTAGCTCGTCTCAGAATAACCCCTTGAACATGTCTCCAAGGCCCCCTTTTCTCCGACTTTCCAGTGGGCTGAGAACAGCCCCACCTTGACTCAGTTCTTTCCCATAACCTTTCTAGAGAGCCAAAGCAGCCCTGCCTAGTCTCTCTCCTGTTGCTTCTTCTATCCCAGGTCCTTCCTTGTTTCACTGTCCCTAGCTTTAATAAACATACTCTCAAAATCACCTGGACTTCTGTTGTGACATCTTCCCTGCATGAAGTCAAGAATCCACATACTACCAGCCCACGGTAGACCCACTCCGAGCCCATCCCCCTTTCCTGTAACAATGAAAGCAATGAATATACATGTTATTTTACTGTTAGAAACTTACCATCATCTTTTTTAAAACTCCACAATGTTTCCTTTAGGAATTGGCTTTGCATTTTTTTCCTGTTATTTGCTAAGAAAAAGTCTTCTTGTTAACATTTATGCAACCCAGAAAATCATCCCTCATCTTTTAACACAAAACAATCCTATCTTAAAAACTGTTCTAAGCCCAACCGGGCATGGCTCAGTGGTTGAGCATCAACCCAGGAGCCAGGAGATCGAGGTTCAATTCCTGGTCAGGGAACGTGCCCAGGTTTTGGGCTCGATCCCCAGTGGGATCGTGCAGGAGGAGCTAATCAATGACTCTCTCACCACTGATGTTTCTCCTTCTCTCTTTCTCTCTCTCTCTCTCTCTCCCCCTTCCTCTCCCTTTAAAATCAATAAAGATGTATTTAAAAGAGAAGTGTTCTAAACAGCTCTGTTTAGGTAACAATGAAGTCCAAGGCATGGAAACGATGATCCCTGAGCCAAAGCCTATTAATTTACATATATTATCTATAGCTGCTTTGACCTACAAGGGCAGAACTGAGTACTGTAGTTGCAACAGAGATTGTCTAGCAAAGCCAAAAATATTTACTATCTGCCTTTTTACAGAAAAAAATTTGCCAGCCTCTGTACTAAATAATTACAAAAATAGACGCTGAAGAAAACTACAAAGAACGTGAAACGTAACTGCAGCCATTTAGAATGATGTTTCAGTAAAATGGTTATATGGAAGAGTGTTCCAGATATATTAAGTAAACTACAGCTATCCCTCAAACATTGTTTCATTCAATATTGTTTTGTTATAACGTTGATGACATGCCACAGGAACTTAACTCATTTTTATCAATTAGCCTAAGGTAAAATTGGTTATACATGGATATTAAAAGAGGACTTACTATACTACTATTATCTTTTATATGATAGGTTGACATTAGACTTCTCAAAACAACATAAAAATCAAGGCAAAATGAAACATCATTTTCAAGAATCTCAAGAAAACAAAAGGCAAGCCAAAGATCCAGTCTAGTTATCCTTTAAGTATCAAGGTTACTGAAAAGTTTTAAATATGAAGGAACCCAAGGAAGATTTGAGCCTTCCTTGAGCAATCTCATAGACAATGAGCTTCGACCAACCAATAAATGACAGGGAGAATATGAGCCAAAGGACAGATGATGAACATTTTAAATATTTAACTGTACATCTAACTTTAAAACAAAGGTGGAAAAGAGAATGAAAGAATATATAAATGTTCTGACAAAGTAGAAGTAATGCAACTTTTAAAAAGAAAGGAGAAGGGAGAGGAAAAGAGGAAAGTAGAAAAGCTCAGTGACTATGGAACACATAATAGGTGGGAGTCAAAAGATTACCATTAAAAACCAACAAGACAGTGGAAGTTTAAGAAAACAAGTCAACTGAGAACATTTTTTTTAATCCTCACCTGAGGATATTTTTCCATTGCTTTTCAGAGAGAATGGAAGGGGAGGGGGGAAAGAGAGAGGGAAACATCGATGTGAGACAGGTTGTCCTGCATGTGCCCCAGCCAGGGCCAGGGCCAGGGATTGAGACTGCAACAGAGGTAACATGCTCTTAGCTGTGACCCTTGAGTACGAGAGCCGATGCTCTAACCACTGAGCAAAATCAGCTAGGGCTGAGAACATTTTTTAAAAGTACAAAGGCAACCACTATCATAATAGGACAAATCTAAGTACCAGAAGGAATTTTCAAAATAAAAGAAAACATCATGCAGAGAAACACAACTAGTTTAACATAATATACATGGTAAGTACAACAAAAATTAGTTAAAATGAAATACATCAGTCAATAAATGAAAATGGACTTAGCTCACCAACTGAAAGAAAAGGATTTTCAATTTGGCTCACAAAGCAAGACACAGTTAAAACAAAGTGATTCAGAAATAAAGGAATGGGCAAATGTAGAAACAATGAGAACAGGGGTTGCATGCTGATAAAGAATTCCAGCCCCAAATCCAAGCAGTAAACATGACAAAGGGCACTTTTTTTAATCCTAAAAGACACACTTCACAATAAATATATATATAAATCATGAATATATATGTACTAAATAATATCATGTATGGAAAGAGAATGATAAAGTTCAATGGTAAAGCAAATGTTAAGATGTTAAAATTTAGAGAATCTAGACATAGGGTATTTAGGTATAGTTGTACTGCTTTTACAACTTTTCTGTAAGTCTGTTATCATATATGTAAATGAAAAGATAAATGGCATTATGGGTTTTCTTCCTTTTTTGTATTTTTTAGTTTTTACACATACTGCATACCTATAATATTTTTTTAATTTATTTATTGACTTGAGAGAGAGGGAGAGCACGAGAAAGAGAAACACTGATTTGTTGTTCCACCTATCCGTGTGTTCATTTCTTGATTCCCATATGTGCCCTGATTGGGGATCGAACCCAAAACCTTGGAGTTCGGGAAGGATGCTCTAACCGCTCAGATACCTGGCCAGGGCCTAAAATGACATTCTAAAAAGTAAAAGAACAGCCCAGCTGGCATGGCTCAGCGGTTGAGCACTGACCTATGGTCTAGGAGATCGTGGTTTGATTCCCGGTCAGGGCATCTGCCTGGCGATGCCGGCTCAATCTCCAGTAGGGGGAGTACAGGAGGCAGCCGATCAATGACTGTCTCATCACTGATGTTTCTCTCTTTCTCTCTCCCCCTCTTCCTTCCTCTCTCTGAAATCAATATATACATACTTAAGAAAAAGAAAAAAAAAGACACAGAAAAGAGGCATAAAGAAACGAAAGCACACACTTTTCATCCAAGATTTTAACAAGACTAGACCACCATATATTACGGCACTGTTTCAAAATCTAGAATTTTAGGAAGTTCTCCAGATGAAATAAGATATTTTAAAGTTGTGATGCCACATTTTATTAAAGGGGTTTTTGTTTATAGTATATTTCATGTTAGTTATTCCAAGCACTTTTATAAAATGCATCTTTTGTCAGAAGTATTACTCCTGAAGTACCAATTAACAAATGTCTTAAACTGGGTTCAGATGTTCTCCTAAGTTGGCATTTTGAAAATTCTCTTCACATAGGGATCCAGACTAAAAATAAAATGTAAAATGGTTCTAATCTCTAATGACAAGACTTTACTTATGGAAGACATTAAAATTAGGACATAATGCTAGATTTAGCATGAGTGACAGAGAACTTCAAGTTCTCTTCACAATTAAAGAACTGAAAGCAAGAGTGACTTTGTAGTGAATCCAACTGTTGATCTGTAAGCCCCAATTTGACCTCAACGCAAGTAAAACCTGCTGTTGAATAACACGTTAAAAATCTCAGCAACATTCTGTAGCTAAACATAATACGGTGATTAAAGGGTGAAAATTTTAGTACGCAGAATTTTCCCTATTTCACAAAATATTCTTCTCTTCTTCCCACGTGAAGAATAACCTCTACTCTCCCTACCTACTTCTGCTTTTTGGTTCCACTTTGATCACTGCCAAATGGAAAGTTTCTCTCCAAAGCAGTATCCCTTCACAACAGATTTCCTTTGTTCTGTGGCTCTTTCTGGGATATAGGAAGATCTTTGTTATACTTCCTTAGTTGCATAGTTCCAGAGAATCACAGCTAAATCTCCCCCTAATTCAGTACACTTACAGAGAGATCCTGTAGGAATCCCATCCTGACTTGCTGGCTGTCATGGAACAGCCACATCAAAGAAAACAAATCTAACCCTAGCCGATTGCTCAGTGGTTACAGCATCAGTCTACAGATAGAAGGGTCCTGGGTTCGATTCCGGCCAAGGGCATGTACCTTGGTTGCATGCTCGATCCCCAGCCCTAAGGGGTGCGTGGAGGAGACAACTAATCGCTGTGTCTCTCTTACACTGACGTTTCTCTCTCTCTCTTTCTCCTTTCCTCTCTCTAAAATCAATTTTAAAAATAGTTAACTACATGGCATTAAAGCATACTAGGAACAAAAATAACACTACCTTGTATTTTACACACTTTAGAATTTACTAAGCATTTCTACAGATACTATCTTGTTGGATTCTCAATTACTCTGCAGCTGTTACTTCAGGCTTATAAAGAAACTCATGGGCAAAAAAATTATTTGTCTCAAGTCAGAACTGGAATCCAAATTTTTACTAATGGAATTGACCTCAAACCACAGGCAATATTAATGCAGTTGATAGCAGTCATTATTTTGTTAATTCCTAACCAATCACCTGAATAAAAAGGAAGACTTCAGTCTTCATTTTGTCATTAGCAAAGATCAAACCACCAAAGAATCAGTCTATCAGGCAGGTAACCCCATGAAAACAAATATTTAAGTAATCTCTAAAAACTGAGATTAATAAAATAAAATTTATCCAGAAGCCAAGAACACTAAGAAAAAAACAAACAAAACACTGCCTTGGAGGTGAGTTTAGATGATTCTTCACTGATATAACTTGTATTTGGCAATTACAGGACTTCTGTGACCACTCAAGCCAAAGAATCAGCAAGATAAGTTTTTTAAAATCAAATTAAGTGATTACTTATTATAGTTTTAAAGGCAGTAATCTCTTATATAAGATACAGAATAAACTAAGATAAAGCCTCAGAAAGCTTACCTTTTTCCTTCCAGACAGAGTAGAAATATCAAAACACTGAATCTTCAATTTCTAGCCTCTACAAAGAAATCAGCAAGGCCTAAGAAAGGAGTAAACCAGACATCCCCAGAGGCAACACAGCTGAAGGACCACAGATAAAGTAACAGCCTCTCAGTATTTTCCTCACCCATGAAACTATTATCTGTCAAACCTACCTACCTTAAAAAGTTGTAAATAACAAAATAAAACAATGGATATGAAAATCTTAGTAAGATGAGAGGTACAATTAAAAACCACCCATCAGCTAAAATGCAAATTAAATAGTTCTATGTCTCTGAGAGTCCTCTCAATGATACTCAGGAAAATATCACCAAAAGCCCTTTTTTTCCAGGATACTGATAAAGGTTCTTTTCAGTAAGATTGGGATGAAGTTAACAAAAGAATTTTGTACTACACTAGAACACTACGTATTTTCAAATGTGATTAGTCACCTGTGTTGCTCTACTAACAATTCACTTTACTTTATAAAAGTTTACACAAGGTAAGAGTATCTTTTTCTTAAAAATACTCGTAAGTACAAGGTTTATCAACATTTTAAAATAAAATTTGAACATTTTCATAAGGACTATTATTAAAACATATATTTAAGAAGAATAAGAATATTGACCATCAGAGTATTTTTGGACATATAACCTGTATTAGAATAAAAACTTCAGTAAAATTATATATTAACAATCAGTACACATTTAACAAGAGCCACATTTCTACTGCATTGGGAAACAGTAATGTACTTACTTCTGTATAACATTTTGCAAGCTTAGCATCATACCCAGTTCTCCCTTCATCTTTTCTCTGTTAGCACGGCATTCTGCCAAGTATCGAAGAGCCTACAGCAGAAACAGTAATACATTAATTCACATGTCCAGACTATTCAAATTTAAACCCACTAACTTACTGCAAGAGAAAACAGGTTTTTGTTTTTAGAATCAATTGTTTTTGAAGTGTTTAGAAACTCTTTTTAAAATGTGATCATCAGAGCAGTCCCCTCCGGGAGAAATGATCCTTTGAGCTGAAGTAGCTGATTCTGCTCTTTGAAAGAAGGTTCCTAACTCATCTGCAAAGTCAAAATTAGGTTGTTCTAGTTTTATTTTCACCACTTCATCTTGTCAAGGATACAAGGAACTATATTACATTTATTAATTTCAGGGAAAGTCCCTATAGCCATCATTTCCCCAGATCCTTTTCACATATGAATTAGAATAAACTGCTGAGGGGGACAAATCATACAACCACCTTTATGGCATCAACTGCTTCTAGTTTTACAATTCACCTTCAAAATGTCTTTTACTGAAAAACAAAAGATGAACTCACCTCACAAATTTCTACTTTCTGAGTTCAATTTTACTAGGGTGCTTTCCTCTTAAAATTTAAAGTACATTTTGCGAGTATTTCCTTCACATGCCTATTCTTTAGGGATTTCATTAGCTGTTGTACATACCCCATAGTCTCTCATCATTCACCAGACTTTGGTACGTGATTTTCAAGATAATACTTCTGTGAATTACACCATCCAAAACTCTGCCATCTCAGTCTACTGACCTTCACATTTTCTACTGGTCCTCTACACTCCATTTCCAAAGTGCCCAGTCTTTACTGAAAACAATACCATCAAGGAACCACAAATTCAACAACCTCTCTGACTACAATCTCCTATCCTTTCTGCAACTTCTCATACCTTGATTTTTCACTTCAGTCCATAAAGGATTAAGAGCCATGGGAACTGCTGTCCCTCCATAAAAAACTAATAGCCAGGACAAGAGGCAGCATAGAATTGTAATCTCTGAGTGAAGAGAAATGACAAGCTAGGCTGGCGTGGCTCAGTGTCTGGCATTCAACCTATGAACCGGGAGGTCACAGTTCAATTCCCAGTCAGGGAACATGCCAGTTTCTCACTGGATCCCCAGTGTGGGACCTGTAGACCAGGAGGCTTGATCCCTAGTGGGGGGCCTGCAGGAAACAGCTGATCAATGACTCTCTCTCATCACTGATGTTTCTATTTCTCTTTCCCTCTCCCATCCTCTCTGTGAAATCAGTAAAAACAAATTAAAAAAAAAAAAAAAGACAAAGTGGGCCCCACAATTGCCCCATCTTACTGCTTTGGAGGCAGTTTTCAGGATGTAGCACAGGCAGCGGGAACCCAAATGGAGCCCACTGGCCTTACTGAGTTAGGGGGTCAGAGATCAGAGTTGGGGCAGTTGGGGTGGTGCAATATAATAATAAATAAGTATTTGGTCTCTGATTCCTAGCACAAAGCTCCTAAAACATTTGGAATTTTCTGGGTGGCAGGAGTGCCTTGTTGTCACTAAGGAAGAGAACAAAAACTCCTGGACACAGAAATTCAGAGTTTCTGAACTGGTGACTACATCCACCTGCCAGGAGGGTGGTGTACTCCAACTCCACAGGGACAGAGTTCCTGTGCTCAGGACCCTTCCAGACCTTCCCCTATGTACCTGTTCATGTGTATCCTTTATAATAAACTAATGAACATAAATAAACATAAATTTCCTGAGTTCTGTGAGCCATTCTATAAAATTATCAAACCTGAGGAAGGGGTCATTGTAACATCCAATTTATAGTTGCTCAGTTAAAAATATGGGTGACCTGATACTTGCAACTGGCCTTTGAAGGGAGGGCCATCTTGTGGGATTGAGCCTTAAACCTGGGGAGTTTAACAACTCCAGGTAGTTAGTGTCAGAACTGAACTGGATTGTTGAATACCCAGCTGGTGTCCACAGAGGATCAGAGGACTGGTGTCAGAAAACACTCCAGGGGGATAGAATTTGCAAAACAGAATAACAGAGAGGAGGGATCTCCACAGCACAGGCACTCACTCAAGAGATCTTTTGAGGGGACCTCCAAGAATCTTTGGTCCAATACTGGCTTGCACATGCTTGGGGGTAAATGATCACCAGAAAGTAGGGAAAACAATGCCTGAAGCTCGCTCTAGCTGGGAAGAGTTTGTGATACCACCAGCCAGACGTGAAAAGACCTCACATGTATTGAGGAATCAGGAAATTCTCAGAAGAGCCTCCCCTTAGTAGTGGTGATATCATAGAATACAGGCTGCTTTAGACTCTACAAAGCTTCAAAGCGAGCCTTAAAGAGATCAAATTCATTCCAAGTAACTTAACTACAACCCAGAACAAAGTACAAGAACATTTATAGGGATACCAAAAAAACCCCCAAACCCAAAACCATAAAATTTGCAATGTCTGACATCTGATTAAAAATTACCAGGTATAGCCTTGGCTGGGTGGCTCAGCTGGTTGAAGCATTGTCCCATATACTAAAAAGGTTGTGGGTTTGATGCCCAGATGAGGGTTCGATCCATGGTCGGGGCGTGTATAGGAGGCAACTGATCGATGTTCCTCTCTCACATCAATGTTTCTCTCCCCCACCTTCCTCTCTCTCTAAAATCAATAAAAACCTATGCTCAGGTGAGAATTAAAAAAAAAAAAAAAAAAATTATCAGGCATGAAAAGCCAGAAAATATGACCCATAACCAAAGGAAAAATAAAAACAGACTTGCATATGACAGAGATGGAATTAGAAAATAAGAGAAAACTAGAAAACATAATAGGTATTACAAATATGTTCCATATATGCTCAAGGGTGAGTAGGAACACATGAGCATGGTGAGGAAAAAACGGCAGATATTTAAAAGACCCAAATGTAACTTCTAGAAGACAAAAACATACTATCTGAAATGAAAAGCACACTGGATAGGATTAACAGCAATTTAGACGCTACAGAAAAAAAGATCAGTGAAATTTAAAATGTAGCAATGGAAACTATACAAAATGAAGTATTCAGAGGGGGGAAAAAAGACTTAAATAAAAGAGAAGCAGTGCAACAGTGACCTGTGGGACAACACGAAAAATCTAACACACATTTAAGTGAAGTTCCAGAAGAGTTAGAGGAAGGAGTCAGAAAAAAGTTGAAAAAATAATAAATGACAATTTTCCAAAATTTATGAAAATTATAAACCCATAGGCCCAAGAAGCTCAACAAATTCCAAGCAAAAGAAAACCATTGATTTCAAGCACATCATAATCATTTGCTGAAAACCAATGACAAACTCACAGAAGCCAGAAAAAGGCATTATATAGAACGGAACAAAGGTTAAAAATTACGGGAATCTTATTAGAAATCATATGGACCAGACAAGAAACATCTTTTAAAGTCCTGGAGAGCTCTAGCCAGTTTTGCTAAGTGGTCAGAACATCAGCTCTCGGACTGAAGGGTCCCAGGTTCAATTCCAGCCAAGCGCACATACCTCAGTTACAGGCTCAATCCCTGCCCCGGTAGGAAGGTTATGTGTGAGGCAACCAATCAGTATGTCTCTCTCACATCAATGTTTCTCCCTCCCTCTCTCCCTCACTCTCTCTGAAAAGCAATAGAAAAAATATCTTCAGGCAAGGATTAAAAAATAAAATAATAATAAAATAATAAAATAAAATAAAATAATAAAGTAAAATATAAAATAAAATAATAAAATAAAATATAAAGTCCTGTAGAAAAAGTACACCTACAGCAAACCTGCAATACAGAAAGTGTTGAAGTTCTTCGGGCAGAATAAAAAGGACACCAGCAGAAATGTGAAGAGATATGAAAGACTGAATGATACCAGAAATAGTTAAGTAAGAAGATAAGTATAAAGTACATTTGATTTTTAAAATGTTAATCTCTTTAAAAGATAACTGTTTAAAGCAAAAAAATACTGTAGAGTTTTTAACATATGTAGAAGTAAAGAGTATGACAAAAAATAGCACAAAGGATGGATGGAGGAAATGGAAACATACTGCTGTATGCTTCTAACATTATACATGACGTGCATGATTTACTTAAAGGCAGACTAAGTGGTAAGTTAAAGATGCATGTTGTAAACCTAGAAGCACCACACACAAAAATTAAAATAAAAAAAGGGTAAAGCCAGTAAGCCAACAGTGAGGATAAAATGAAATTATACAACACCACACATACTCTTCAACCTCTTTAGTAAACTTCACCTCTACTGGTCCCGCTACCTCTCCCTTAGCCCTGTCCCTCTGACTTGACTTCCCTTCCTATTCAGCCTGGCGGCCACAGTCTATCATTTCAACCACTCTTGCCAAAATCCTCCACTCCCTCGCTTGGTCGTCCTGTCCAACTTACAGGATGAAGAATCAACCCCGAACAAATCCAACTAGCTGACTCTCTCAGAGCCTATAGTAGACCTGAAGAGGGGTGAAAAGGAGTTCCACAGGCCTTGAGCATCATATCAATTCAGGGTTACCAAACTAATCAGCCCCTCCACACTTGCAAACAATCTCACCACTCTCAGCAACCTCTTCCGTTGTATGTAAGAACTATGAGAGCCTTTTCCTCAGACTTCTCCCACTGTGGCAACCCCTTGCCTTCTGAATTTAAACAGGTTCAAGTCTAGTCTCTCTCTTTTTTTAATTCCTCCCAAGTCCCTGTCTAAAGACCAGCACTCTCTCTCTTCTCATCTTCACTGCAATTTGTACTGAAAAGGGACTAAAACTAGGGACCATGAAACTTCCCTGTTTATTGCCACTGTTCATTTATATCAATGTCTGTTAAACTTCATTCTTTGGAACTAAAATAGGAAATCTGTCTTATGTCGTATGATTTTCAAAAGTATTTTTCTGTATGAACTTGTAAAATTAGACTAAATGGGAATTTCTCATAGGTCCTTAAGGACAACGATTTTTAAATTTTCTACATTAACTTTCTTTTAAACCTTTTGTTATGGAAGTTTTAGAAGGCACAAAAGTAGAGAGAGTGACCTCCATGTATCCATCATTCAGATTCAATAATTATCAACCACTTGGCAATCTTGTTTCATCTACCTCCCCTGCTGGTAAACCACATTGAAGTATTCTATAGCAAATCTCAGAGAACATATAATTTCATTTGTAAATACTTCAGTACATCTGGGGAATAGGTAAAGAGTAGAGTTTCTTTCTGAGGTGGTAAAATGTTCTAAAATTGATTGTGGTGATGGTTGCACAACTCTGCGGAATATACTAAAAACCACTGAATTGTACACAGTAAATAGGTGAACTGTATGGTGTGATTTAGATCTTAATAAAACTTTTACAAAATAAAAACAAAACAATTAAGTGCCTTTTTGAGTGTCCATCTGTACTGATATGACAAAATGAATGCATGTAGCACGCTGCCATTTCTGTCAGAGGACTAGTCACATGCATATATATTTGCATATACAGAAATACAGACTTACTATTAACTTATTAGCATGTCATCTAACACTTCTTCAAATTCTCCTTAATTGCAAAATTACAACACTGAAGACTGAAATTACTAAAGGCAACTTACGAGCAAAGCCGAGTGGACAACAGGGGGGTTGGGATGGTCCATAAATAAAATAAGGCCAGGCAGACATCCCTGATCCTGGACAATGGCTCTTCTATTTAATGGATCTGCCGCCAGATCCCGTAGCTGGTTAACTACCGATAGGGCATCAGGTTCTTCATTCATGGTGGAGGAGGAGGAATTCATCTTCTACTCCACACACATGAACAAAATCTTCTTAAATTCTGTAGAAAGAAAGAGTTTGCAAAATTAGTTCTAAGCTGCTGAAGGATATTATGGCATTTGTTAAACAATCAGGATTACAACACCTTTAGAAAGAAACAGATGAATCTAAATCACAAAAAAGAACTGGCAATTCCAAAGTTTAAGTAAAATGAACATAAGCAGCTGACTAAAAAAGAATCGTTATTTATGTGTGCACAATGTTTAAAGAACATATGTCATCTTCAATATTCCAATAAATTCCTTTCAGCAATACATATTTTAACACTAACGCACCACAATAAACAAGATCTTTACAGTTCAAGCTGTGACCTTCGCTATACTTGTCAAACTGTAGCACTGCCAGTGCTTTTTTCTTCAGAACATTTCTGGAGCCTAAGTCCCACCTCAGGGAAAAGCAGCTAGCTGACAGCTTTTTTTCTTATTCATCTATGAACAAAACCCAGCAAAGTGAGTCTACAAAGATAAAATCCACTAGGAAAAAGGAAAGAGTCAAAGAAGGTTGTGAACAAAGAAACCAAGAAGGGTGTCTCTTGCTGGGCCTTAGGCCAGTGGAGTTTGAGAGGTCACAGTGAATGTGAACTAAATCTAAGCACACCTGTCCATCTCTGAGTGTACCATGTTCAGAAGAATGAAACAGAATTTGGTTGATTCACTTGACAGATAAGTAAACAGCCATAGAGAAGTTAAATAATTTGCCACAGGGGACGAAAGTTAGTATAGTACAGAACTGGGCTAAAATCTTATTTACTAGCTCCTAAACTGATCAGCAGTCTTTCCACTTCCCATACAATTCTTTTAAATTCAGTGGTCCTTCCACTTTCATTCCAATTCTTTTAAATTCCCATACAATTCCATAAAAGTGAACAGGACATTTTAGAAAATGTAACACGCTAAACATACAAAAGCCAAAGAAACAAAATACTTCAAAATAATCTTCATATAAGCAGAAAGTTAAAAATAACTTCAATTAATCAAGTTATACAATACATACTGCTTATTAGGAAGAATATAAAAGTATAAATACTTTCCACAAATTAATAAGTTTAATGCTAATTTCAATAACATTGCTAACTGGGGGAGGGTGTTGGAGACAAAATTATAACTCTAGAAAGGCTATTAAAGATATTTTGTAGCCGGTGTGGCTCGGTGGGTTGGGTGTCATTCTGTGCACCAAGGGGTTGACGGTTTGATTCTGTCAGGGCGCATGCCCAGGCTGCAGACTCAATCCCTGGTAGGGAGTGTGAAGAAGGCAGCCATTGATGCTTTGCTCTCACATTGATGTTTCTCTCTCTCCCTCTCCCTTCCTCTCTCTGTGAAATTAATACAATATAGTTTTTAAAAAATGTATTTTGGCATTCATTCTCTCCTACCCTCTCTTATTCCCAAATTTGGCAGACCTCAAAAAGTTTTTAAATCACCTTTTAAATTCATTGAACTGAGCAATTTTATAGCAACCAATGAACCATAATGTAAGGGGGGAAAAAACACCTTCTTTTCTCTTCCCTTCTTTTATAATGAGTACTGCATTAGGTTCAAAAAAAAAATAAGCTTGCTTTCCAGTTGCATTTTTCACTTAGAATACTAATGCCAAGGTGTGGACCTGGATAGCCTACAAGAGAATAAACTGGAATTATAATTAAAATAAAGATTCCAAGGTCCAACCCCAAGCCTAAAAAGAATCCTTGGAGGTAGGGCCCAAGACTTATTTTAATAAGCACATCAGGTGATTCCTGGTGAAAATAAGAACCATTAAAACTTTATGTTGGTCTGTCCAGCCAGTGTGGCTCCTCAGTGGTTGAATGTCAACCCATGAACCAGGAGGTCATATGGATTCCTGGTCAGGGCACATGCCCAGGTTTCAGGCTGGATCCCCAGTAGGGGGCCTCCAGGAAGCAGCCGATCAGTGACTCTCTCATCATTTATGTTTCTCTCTTTCTCCCTCTCTCTGAAATCAATTAAAAAAAAAAAAAAGTATTAAAAACTTTGTGTTGGTCTATAAACGCCATGTCTTTTTAACATGGCTATGAACACCTGAATAAAACCCTGAACACTATAACTCTACAGGACACTTTCTTTAATTACTGAGCAACATGAGAGTAAGTGAATTTGGAACTAGGTTTCAGGGTTGTTGTTTTTTACCAAATAACCAAATTAACAGCCTGGAAAAGCCACCAGTAATAGGAAATCTACCCCCTTCTTCCAAAGAAACTGTTTGGAATCTCTTAATCAATGGAACAAAATTGTGTGGGGAGATTTGTGCACAGATTGTGTATGAGTAAACAGAAAGTTCTTGAAATTTTATTTAACTGTCAGCAGTAGCGCTTAACATTTCTTTTGTCTCAGCTTTTTTTTTTAAGACCAGCACCTGATGTCTTACAAGCTAGTTTTGAATTACTAAATATTTGTGTATAGTTTAAGATTTTTGGATGCAAAGCTAAAATTGCCAATACAGACATATTTAACTTTTTAAACATCGTATCACTAGCAAATGAAAAAAATGTAAACACCAAACAAACAAAAAAACTTTCTCTGTCTTTTTAATTCCAGTCTTATTAGAACACAAATGTATATACTACATAACCTTTTATATTCTCTTTGGTTTGGTTCAATTTGGACAAATCATTGTAAGACAATGGATACTCCCCACACTTTAACAAGCACTCTGATCACCTAAGAGATCTTGTCAAAAAGTAGATTGTTTTAGTAGGTAGGGTGAGACCTGAAATTCGGTATTTCCAACAAGCTTCCAGGGGAGGGCTATGCTAGTGAGACGCTAGGAGTGAGGGGATAGATGTGAGACACCTGGAACTAAGCAGGTGTCTCATTTTGTTTCTTTCAGCCAAGATTTATGATTCGACTCAAAGAATTATTAAGCTCACATACAGTCAGTTAAGCGAGTTTTTGAAAGATAACATAAGCACTGAGATCAGATCTGGTTTTCTCCTTACTAGCAACTAAGAGTAACTCTTTGAGAAGTTGAGTCTCCTTCCAGCCTCAGTTTCCTCACCAAAAAAATCCTGTCCGATTCAAAGAAAATTAAAACTTAAGATGATATAAGAGTACCGGCAAATAGTAAACAATAACAATACTTGATCCTGTGGGGACTTCTATTCCCCCGGGTCCGGGGGTATGCCCTGCTCCGCCCTCGCATATCCGTACACTACCTCGAAAGGAGTTGCTAACAGCACGAATCCTCTCAAGAACGGTTTTCAAAATACAAAGATGTGAACACTGGTCTCTCCTGAATGAAGCCAAACGTAACCATGTCATTCTGCTCTTAGTGCAGTCATGCAGGTGCACAAAACTAAAAGAAAGTTACTCAAGAACCACCTGCAGAGAGGAAGTGAGGTGACACCTATCAGTAATGGTGGGGTTTGTAAACATCGGACGTGCGGGGGACGGAGAGGAAGTGAATAAACCCAACATTCTCGCAGGACGCATGGGAGCGGGGCGCTTTCCTGGGCCCAGAGGGCGCACTGCTGGGTGCTGACAAGCAGCAGGCAGAGCGAGCGCCCCGGCCCGAGCCCCTTCGCCGACTCGGTGCTGGGTCCGCTCTCCGCGGCCTTCCCGGCCCCGCCGCTTTGTCCGCCGCCCCGGACCCTACATACCGCTCCAAAGCTTCAGGAGTCCGGAGCCTGCTGCACCATCAGGGCAACGCCAAGGGGTGAGGTAGAGGGACCCAGAGGCGTGGAGCCGGTCCCTCCGTTCGCAGCCGCGGCCTCCGAGGCAGGGGACTTTATCTAGGAGTCAAAGAGCGAGGGCGCCAGCGGAAAAAGGTTCTACAGGCTCTCCCCCATGACCCTGAAACCTCCGTCGGTGCTGGCCTCTGATTGGCTGATACCCTTGCAACGCGAAGAGAAGACGTCCAATCCGCGAAGACTTTCTTGTACTAAAGCGTTCATTGGTGACCAAGGGAAATGCACTCAGTGCTGAAAGGAAGGGTCCAATGAGAACCAGGAACCTGGATTGGACTAAACGCCTCTCCGTCCACTAATCTCGATTCCGGCTGAGACATCTTCGAGTTTTCCCGACTACAATTCCCAGCCTTCCAGCGGTGGCGTTTCTCTGCTCCTGCGCTCAGAAATTCAAACTGAACGTGTTTGTTGTTGATTTTCTCCAGCAACTCTTTTAGTTCTAATAAAGCAGTTTCATAATGTTTCATTCGCTTTTGTGAGTTTTAATTCATAATACTTAAAATTTATCTGAGATTTTCCAAAAACACTAGCACTATGTTAGGCATTGGACTTCGTTCATTTCTTGCTAATGTCCACTGTCTTAGCAGCGCGAAGTCCTTTGATTCCTCTGTAAGTGAATTTAAAAACCAAACGTTAACTTTCGCTCAAATTTACTTACCTTCCCTAATTTTTTTTTTTTTAATATGCTTTTGTTGATTTCAGAAAGAGGAAGGGAGAGAGAGAAATATCAACCATGAGAGAGTCATTGGTCGGCTGCCTGCACGCCTCCTACTGGGGATCGAGCCTGCAACCCCAGCAAGTGCCCTCACTGGGGCACCTTGACTCCTGGTTCATAGGTTGTCGCTCAACCGCTGAGCCACTCCGTCTGGGCACCTTCCCTAATTCTTGATTATCCTTCACCTCCTTCTGATAAACTCAAAAAGTAAATAGGCCCTTGCGGGTGTGACTCAGTGATTAGAGCAGGGGCCCGTGCGCCAAGGAGTCTCCAGTTGGATTCCCGGTCAAGGGCAAGTACTTGAGTTGCGGGTTCCCTCACCCCCGGGAGAGGGAGGCAGCCAGTGGCTGCGTCTCTCTCGAATCTATGTTTCCCTCTCTCTCCCCCACCTCCCTCTTTCTTCCCGTCCCTCTCCCTCCCTTCCACTCTCTCTGAAAAAGCAATAGAAAAAATATCCCCACATGAGGATGAACAACAAAGTAAACAGGAGTAGAGTAGAAAGGGTGTCTTTCTCACTATTTGACCTATAGCAAAAACAAGTCAGACATGGTTTCTGTTTCCCAAAGTCACAAGAGGGAGTGAAGTGAACACTGAGTCTAAAATACAGAGAAAAAAAGAGATGATGCATAATGTCCCATGGTAGAAACACCAGCCCCATTTGTTAACAATCATCCCGAGAAGTAAATGGTAAGTGTAGAAAGCTGTAAAAAGTATAAGTTCAAAGCGTACAATAAGGTGAAACAAATCCCACTTGATTGAGTACATGAAATTTCATTTGGTATTATTATTAAAAACAACTCATTAACCCAGGAAAGTAAACTTGCTATTTTTGTTAAGGTTAATTTGTACATTAGAAAGAGAAAACACATATGGGATTTTCCCAACAAGTAACTGATGACTTAGGTTTGTGGCACTGTCCAGAATATATGTTCAATAGAGTCTTTGTCTTTTAGAAGTTCACAATCTAAAATTAAATGTGATCACATTCCTGACATTAAAGTATAGAGACATTTTTCCTAGTAAATTGCCATTATAGAGAGTAGATGACTGGAATTAAAAAGCAGGTAAAAAATAATTACCACTTTCATAAGCATCTATGAATTACAAGCCATAGGGAAGTCTTTAAGGCTTTAAGAATGTAGAGTCTCATATTGAAAGTGTATGAACTTGACACCAGTGAAGTTATACTACTTGCCATTATGTGTCATTGCTTGTTCTTAGCCTCAGATATCTTGCCACAGGACACAGCTGGAATATCAAATTTCTCAATGGCTGTGTTGATTAAGATATATGAATCAGATAATGACAGTTTCATTCACTCAATTTTTTTAACAATCATTTTTGAAACACATACAATGTGCTAGAGACAGTCTTAGCAATGAATTCAAAGATAAGGAAAACCATAATTACTGCCCTCAAGGAGCTTGTGGTCTAGTACAATGGTTTCCAAAACTTTCTGATCAAGTACCCCTTTCAACTTAAAAAAATGTTTGAGCATATAGCTCCAAATTTCCAGTATTAAGTGATAAAAGATGCTTAAAAGTATGTATGGGCTCAGTTCCCAGTGGGGAGCATGCAGGAGGTATCCAATCAATGACCCTCTCATCATTGATGTTTCTCTCTCCCTCTCCCTTCCTCTCTCTGAAATCAACAGACATATTTTTTTAAAAAGGTGAGGGAAGGAGGTTATGTAGATAAAATATATTTCAGAGACATTCACCAAATGGGACATGTAGCTCTTTTTAAGATTCTGATTCAAAGAAACCAACTGTAAAAAATTTAAAAATAAAGGGGGGGAGGGGAATGGGGACATTTGTAATAGTGTCAACAGTAAAAATATTTTAAAAAATAAAAAATAAATGAGACACCCAAGTAAGTTTGAACACTGAATTGATATTAAGAAGCATAATGATCAATGTTTTAGGCCTGATAATGGCATTATAGTTATGTTTTTTTTAAAAGATTTCTTCAAAATAAACTGATGAACAAAATAGATCCAGAGGCATTAGAAGTATGAAACAGACTGAGGGATCTCAGAGGGAAGGTGGGGGTGAGTGAGTGGGTGAGGAGAGATTATTAATCAAAGTATTTATATGTTTATAAGCATAACCCATGGACACATACATTGGTATGGGGAAGGCCTGGGGGTGAGATGGATGCGGGGTGGAGGGGATCAGTGGAGGAAAAAGGGGGACATCTGTAATACTTTCAATAATAAAGATAAATTAAAATTAATTAATTAATTAATTAAAAGACTTCTTAACTTCTAGTGATGCACACTGAAACATTTCTAGTTAGTTGAAATGGCATGCCTGAGATTAGCTTCAAAATAATCCAAGAGTTTGCCTCGATGCCTCGAGGTTCATTCCCCAGCATCTCCAAAACAAACAAAAAAAATCAGAGGCCTGGAAAGGGTATGGATGAAATCATAGCTATGAGGTGCTGACTGTTGAAGATGTATGATGGGTACATAAGGATTTATTACATATACTTTTAACTCTTGTGTAAGCTTGACATTTTCCAAAAGTACAATTTTAAAAATAAAACCTAATTTTAAAACATTAAAAAAAAAAAAAAAAAAAGCTCTGCAGGTCAGGTTATATCCCAAGAACTGGTTTATAGAAAAAAATGTCACAGTCTCTGGAAAACAGTGATATTTTCACCTATCTGGATATACATATTTTTGGATATACATCAGATCACTTTGTACACTGATCTAAGAAAAAATTAGTTTCAAGGCTCAGAACAACCAAAAGTATACCCAATACTGCAGGATCAAATCAAAATAGCTCAACATTTTGTCACTGGGAACCATGGTAAACACATTCATTTCCACTGAAATTTACATGATTGAAGTGGATTTAAATATTCTCTCTTCCAACAATATCTGCCTTTGTGATCAGAGCTTGAAGCCAACGGATCTGAACTATTAGGCATTTAGCTGCATCTTTTAACTTTCACCTCATGCGAGATGATGTTGGCCCATCAATTAGTCTTGAAAGGCTGTCCTGTAGCTGAACCTCTCCCAAACATACCCAGCCCCACCTTGTCTTGAAGCACCCTTCACATAGGAACTTCACTGTTCTACCCAATGGTCCTTCACTAGTTAGGTTTTTTTGGATTTTAACTCAGGACCACTTGAGGCCCATTCCAGTATGTTATATTTTCTATAGACAGGCAATCAGAGCTGGAGAAAAAGCAGAACTATAAAGAAAGGGTCTGAATTTCCAAGGAAGATACTGTGTAAGATTTGCAGATTATTACCTATTTTACCAAATGGGATTGTCATTAAACCTCATATGAGAAACAGGCTGATGGACACATGTGGGCATTTGTCTGTCCTCTACTTTACTACCACTGGATCACAACCACATGAGCTGACTATATGTCCTTCCTGGCTATTATTTATAGGTCCCTTGTGATAAGTCAGGCATTGCCTTTAGTATTTTACCTCAGTCCTTGGGGCTACCCTTTGAGTTGGCTATTTTCCCCATTGTGCACATCAGAAAATTGAGACCAAGGGAGGCTGATTGGTTTGCCCAAGGCCACACAGCTGATAAGTGGCAGAGGCATATTTGAACATGTGTCTGTCTGACTTGGAAACCTACATTCTTTCTACAACCGAATTAAGCTTCACTGCCTACCAACATGAACAAATGGAAACCTGACCTTTTGTTAAATCTCTACAGGGAAGTTAGCCTACAAAAGGCCTTGTTCACCTAATATATAAGCCTAATATACACTTAATGGATAAATCTCTTGCTTAAATAATGGCATTATAATACTTTAATTTCCTGTTAGCAATCTGGAAACATAGAAAGGTCAAGGGATTTTTTCCAAGGCCACAAAGTGAGTGAAAGCTCTGATTCTTCTCCTCCATGCAATAAATACTCCAACTAGCAGATGAAGTTACAGTCATTCTGGATTCTGCCAAGAAAGCTGAGCCATTAATCTAGGTAAATAACTCCAGGATCAGATACACTAAAAAGAAAAAAAAAAAAGTCTATTTTCTTCTAAAATCCCCAAATGGTTTAACTGTAATCTTCTACATTAGTTTCCAAAGTTAGTCATGCAGAACAATCACCTAAGGTTCTGGGAAGGGGACTGGGCTTATGGGGGGGGGGTTGTTTGTTTTTGTTTTTTATATAGTTTTACTGATTTTTAGAGAGGAAGGGAGAGGGAGAGAGAGAAACATCCATGAGAGAGTGAAGCATCCATCAGTGGCCTCCTGCATACCCTCCATTGAGGACAGGGCCCACAACCAGGGCATGTGCCCCAACCCATGCCCCAACCGGGAATCCAACCAACAACCTTTTGGTGCACTGGACAACGCTCATCTCACCAGCCAGGGCTGGGCTTAGGTATTTTTAAACAAGCTCCAAAGTATATTTAAGAACCATTGATCTTGTGTTGGAGACATAAATCATATTAGTTATCCATTGTTTCCTAAAAAATTACTAAAAAATGTAGCCGCTTGCTACAACAATCGTTTATTATCTCAAGTTTTCTGTGTATGAGAAATCCATGTGCAGCTTAGCTGGATATCTCTGGCTCAGGGTCTTTTATAAGGCTGCAGTGAAGGTGTCAGTGGGGCTGCAGTCATCTGAAGGCTCAAGTGGAAGAGGACCTTTTTCTGAGTTCACTCACGTGGCTGTGGGCAGGGTTCAGTTTCTCACTGCGGGTGGACATAGGGTCTTGGGTCTTAGTTCCTTGCTGGTTATTGACCAGAGGCCTCCTCCAGTTTCTTGCCACTGGGCCTCTCCATAGGGCAGCTCACAACATGACGGCTGACATTTTCCAGAGCAAGAGAAGGAGACACTGAGAGAGCAAGCAAGACGGAAGCCACAATCTTTTGTAACCTAATCTTGGAAATGATATCCATCACACTTGCTGTATTCTATTTATTAGAAGGAAATCCCTAGGTCCAACCCACCCTCAACAGGAGGGGTTTACATGAGGTCGGAAATACCAGGACGCAGCCATCGTTGGTGGCCACCTCCTATGCTGCCTGTCACAGAGGTGAACTGAGAAACGAGTTGGTAATATTTCCCAGCTCTGTGTACCGAGAGGCTAGATTCAATCACACCCCAGTGGCAACAAGCACACCCAGTGCCTAGACCTCACACTCACTCCTTTCTGATGTGTTCCCTGGGCCCCCAGGAGGGCTTAGCTTCCAGGCTCCCTCCGTCCACACCTTCATTATAACATTTGGTATAAACAATTTGGTTAAATTTGTATTTCTATCTCCTCGTTAGCCTGTAGGCTCATTGAGGGTGTAGTTCAAGGCTTAAAAAAAAATCTTTGTACTGTCATAGTGGGCCCCACAAAAGCCCTTGTTGAGTAAACCAATTAATGTTTTTGCTGAAAGAGGAAAGCCCTCGCTGGGGAGACCTGGGAGCCGGGAGGAGCTCGGGAGCTCGGCGCCCGCCCGTGACCTCCGGTATCTATTACGATGGGAGGGTAAGCGAGGCGGCCAATCAGCCACAGCCTCCCGAGGGGCCGTGCAGAAACACTGACAGGTTTTTCACCCTACCTACGGAACTTTTACCAGGCCTTCACATACCTTACTATATTTTCATAGCAGAATTATTTGAAATCCAGAGTGTCCTAAACAGTCAACTATTAAAAAGAACATGTCCCAGTGAATCAGAGTCAAGAGATGCTGGAACTGAAGACGGTAAAGTAAAATCCTCACCCACCAGGGACCTTGTAGGACCACGCACGCTCACTCTCCCCTAAACACAAACACACCGTAGATATGAGGCCCGTAGAGACAAAAAGTCTGCAGCGTGAGCACCAGCCTCTACGGCGTGGGATGGAAGGGCTCAACATAGGTTAACAAGGGCTTAAAACTCACAGCTTCTTTCAAGGTAATACACACTTAAGGCTACATTCAGAATGTGGGTCGTCCAGCACACCTACAGCTTTAAGTTTACGTACAAAAGCACTTCCCAGGGAGGAGCCGTGAGGCCACAAAGCGAAGTCCGGGAGAAAGCGCCCGCACCCCGCCGCGCCCCGCGCGTGCGCACACAGGCTACGGGAGGAGGCGGCCGGAACGTGGGGCGGTACCCTAGCCTTCGGCTCTGGGCTCTGGACCCGCCTCCGGGCCGGAGGAAGCCGGTGATTGGTTAGTCTGGCCTTGGCTTGGGGAGGAGATTGGATGATTGGCAGCAACGTCCTGGGACCGCCAAGCTGGAAGCGGGGGAAGCTGAGAAAGACGCTTCGCTGCCTCGCGGCTGAGGTAACTGGGGCTGGGGACTTGGGGAAGCGGTTAGGTTGGGGTCACGGAGGCGCCCCTGGGCCTCACAGTGGTGGGAAGCCCTGGTAACAGCGCAGGAGCTGACAGAGCGGGGTTCGGGCTTGCGGGGAAGCCGGCAAGCTTCGTGGGCCGGTTGGGTGGCTGCCCCGCGGCTGAAGGGAAACGGAGAGGTTCTCGGCAGCCGGGGCGACTGAGGGCCCTGGTGGGGCTGGAGCTTTGGCGGAGCGGAGGGAAGGCGGCAGAATTGCCCCGAAGGCTGGGTTCACCCACCCACCCATTTACCCCGTATCTGCCCCC